CTTCTGTGCTCAGTCTCATGGTAGTGGTGGGGTACACTTAGGCAACTTTTATCTCTGGATTTAATGGTCCTATTGCAGGGGTTGCTTTACAGAGGGCCAGTGCTTTCATTAGGCCAACTAGGCAGCCGCCCAGGGCACAGACCTCAGAGGGGCACAGTACTGACCTTTGAGGGGCATAGTTTTGGATTGATTAGTTTTTGTTTTATAAATTTCTGATAACATTTTACTTATATTTTTGAAGGATTTTATCATTTTTGAAGTCACTCATTCATTAGAATTGCTTTTTATTTTTTTCTACAAGACTTTTTTTTTGGAAAACTGAAGTTAGCAATTTGTTTCTGGGGGGGGGGTGCAAGTAGTTACTCTTGCCAAGGGCACAGACAGCTATGCTGAGAGAACCCTTGGATTTCTGCCCCATCCTCCTCCTCTGATGACATAGGTGCTCAGGCTCCTATTAGAGCGCTGTCATGCCAAAGGTGTATCTTGACAAACACTCTGCAGTTTAGGCTCACTGTGACTGTCACAGTTCCTTTGAGATACTTTTGGGGCAATATTACAGTTTGGATAATTACATTTTGTCTCCCCACCCCCTGTTGCTCTTACATGATGCATCTTCTTGTTCTCTTCAATCATTATGTAGCATTTGTGTGCTCTGCTGAAACAGCTGCCCAGATTTGCTCCCCCAAGGCAGTTTCAGCTAGGAATGATTCACAATTTGTTAAACTGATAGATATTAACACTTTTGAGTTCCTTAGGATAGAAGTGAGCCAGTCAAAGAAAATGGGGTACAATTCACTTTGGGTGGGGGGAAGATGCTGGTACTGCATTTCGTTGAGTACCACCAGAAAAAAGCACTGGTTTTACTACTTTGCTGTTTGCTACCTTTGCAGGAGAATGGTAGAGCTTCATTTCATTTACAAATTATCTAGCAAACCAAAGACCAGTTTCAAATACGGTACTTTATACTATCTTCTGGATCACTTAATAAGTACATGTATTATAGACATACACTGTTATAAGTTGTGGTGTATGTACACGAATACAGGCTTTCATAATGTATTTTGGAGGGTCTCTGGGTAAATTAAAAAGAAAGAAAAATAAAAGTTGTTATTGCAAAAAAAGAAAAACAATCTTTACAACTCCGCTGCATTATTACAGCAGCTGAGGTCCTACCTGCCTGCACACTATCTCGCCAGAGTGGTACATGCACTGGTTAACTCTTGCTTGGAGTACTGCACTACGCTTTATGGGGGGCAACCTTTGAAGGTGACTCGGAAACTACAAATAATCCATTATGCAGCAGCTAGACTAGTGACTGGGAGTGGATGCGGGGACCATATAACACCAGTCCTAAAGGAGCTACACCAGCTTCCAGTATGTTTCTGAGCACAATTCAAAGTGTTGGTGTTGACCTTTAAAGACCTAGATGGCCTTGGCCCAGTATACCTGAAGAAGCATCTCCACCCCCATCATTCAGCCTGGACACTGAGGTCCAGCTTTGAGGGCCTTCTGGCAGTTCTGGTGAAAAGTTACAGGGAACCAGGTAGAGGGCCTTCTCGGGAGTGGCGCCTACCCTGTGGAATGCCTTCCCACCAATTGTCAATGAGATAAATTACTATACAGCTTTTAGAAGACATCTGAAGGCAGCCCTGTATAGGGAAGGTTTTAATGTTTGATGCTTTATTATGCTTTATATTTGTTGGAAGCTGCCCAGAGTGGCTGGGGCAACCCAGTCAGATGGGTGGGGTACAAATAATAATAAAACTACTACTACTACTACTACTACTACTACTACTACTACTACACAATCCTAGGCATCCCTACGCAGAAATAAGTCCTACTGAGTTCAGTGTGGCTGACTTCCAGGCACACTGGTTATATCATCAAAGCCTTAGTTTTTCAAATTCTGAGAGGTCTCTTAGGAACAAACTAGATTTTACGGCAGCAGATCTGGATGTTTACACATTGACCTTCCTCAATCATATAACAAGAGGAGTGAGTGGGTGGTGTTTTTTTTTTAAAAAAAAGCATAAGCATAAGCTTGTGGGCAAGGACTACAGAACCTTTCCTTATCTGTTGTTTGTTCCCCTTGGTGCTTTTATCCTCCTCTGAGAGAAAAGAACCTCAGGAGAACGTGTTTTTTAAAAATACCAAGGTGAGAAACCATCAACAAACAAGAGATGTACTATTTTCTTACTGCACGAATCGCTATTCTATTTTTGTCATTATGCATCCTAAAAATGAAAATAAAAAATGCCTTCTATATACAGAAGAGTTGTTAAGGACCCTAAAATGATTAATCATGTTCAGTTCAGAGTATATCATTCATAATTGTTTAAAGTATTCTAAGATCACAGTCACTGTTTCTGTAAGGTCACCACATATCTATCTTGACGCTTAATGAGTTCTACGCCTCTGCTCCCTTTTACAGCTAGTGCCCTAACAATGTTGATCTCAGGAAGCAGTCCACCCAATTTAGTGTGGCCAGAATGTTGAATGCTATGTAGAGCAGTGGGGAGTTATCATTTAACCCCCCTGAATTCTGTGGGATAGTAAAAGCAAGCTGCAAACTGGGACACAGGTGAATGGAGACAAAAAAGAGACTGACATCACCAAGCACAGGACAAGGAGAGAACCTCCAAGGTTCACATCACAAGAGCCCAAGTGGATGAGGCCAATAACTCTAATCTTGAATTTGGTTCTCACAGTGGCCAATCAGATGCTTATGGGAAGCCCACAAGCAGAATCTTGAGCACAAGAGTACTTTCTCCACTTGCATTCTCAGTGGCAGTGCTTCAGATGCATACTGAGGTGAAGCTAGTGCTGCCCCACCCCAGGCAGGTAGAGGAGCAGAACGGCAGGTGGACAAAAAAGCAAAGAGAGCTGCTGCCTTAAATACTCTGCTTGAGAGCTTCCTGGAGGGCTAGTCTTGCATCACCATACATTTAAAGCACTGTTAAACAACTTTAACCATCAAGTCTTTGCACAAAGAATCCTGGGAACTGTAGTATGTTCAGCATGCTGACATCACAGACCTACAGTTCCCAGCACCCTTAACAAACTGCAACCCCCAGGATTCTCCATGAGTGGTAAAGCAATATATAAGTGTATAGTGTATAGCTTTAAGTGTATAGTGTGGATGTAGATCAGCCTGCCATAACGAAAACAGCATTCTGGATTTGAACTGAACCTGATCACTGTGTGCTGAAGTATTGTAATATATCAATTAATCAAAAGGGGTTGTGAGTGGCTTTAAAATAAGTTGCTCTAGCAATGCATGATGAAGCTGCAGAGGTGGTATGATCTGCCTTAAAGGCCATTCCCTGAACATAATGACATCTTGCCACACTAGATTAACCCCCCTGCTTCAAGGCTCAGATATATAAAAATACACCCTATATCTCACACTCATGTCACTGGCCTGGTTTTAAAATAGTCAAGCTTCCTATGGCTCTTGTGGGAAACTACAGGATTTGAACATGGAGGATGTTGTTCACTGTCCATTTGCCCTTAGGAAGAAGCCTCAAAGGCAGCTATTACTTTCCCTCACTAAGTATACATAGGATTGTCTTATTTACTTAACTGTTAAGTGTCAATGGGCGATATTAAAAGCTGGGGTGGGGTGGGGAGAGAGGAAGGAAGAACAGTTCCAAATAATTATTTTATTTTGCTTGTCTATATGTATCATTCTAAAACCAATGAAAAAAATGTATGCACTTCTTGGGCTGCCTCATTCACCTTGCTTATAAAGGATGTCCTTCTCTCTGGTGGTGTTTTTGGGAGCCATGGGCGAACCCTTCCCACCAAAGATCACAGTCATAAGGTAGCCAACGGCAGGTAGCAGCTTGCACGTTGCTGTTTTTTGGGGGGTTGATGGTGTTTAAAAAAACAGGATCCTCCCAGGCTCTGGCTTGCTGACTCAGACTTATATATTTCGCCTTCCTTCTCTAAGCCAACTCAGGTCATGTGAATTATTTAGTAGGGCATTTTTCAGTTCTCTCCGAAGGGAGGGGTGGTTGGGAGGCAGGCTGAACTTCAACCTTACAGAGAGTATACCTGGTTTTTGTGTGTTTTTAATAGTGCAATTAAAACGAAGGAAAAAAAAAAGCCCAAACCAAACACCGTCGTAAGCTGAGGCTATAAAGACTTTGCTGACACTGGGAAACGAACGTGGAGTGCGGGAGGGGGAAATACGGTATATGGAGGGGATTGTCAAAATGGGACAAGGGGGAGGCTACTAATGTTGCTCTTTCTTTTTTCTCTCGTTATACCCCTTCTTTTCCCCACTGTGTACATCAACGCCCCCCCTTCCCACGTTGTCGTTGTTTTAAATTTGCCAACACATCTCCTCCCTCCGTTCTCCTCCACATCCCTTTCCCTTCATCCTTGTTGTTCGGCCATTATTCCCTGGGTCCTTCTTCTCTCCCTCCCTCCTTCCATTCAATCGTCCCTCGCTCCTTCTTCTGCCGCGTCTTCCCCGCACACCGCTCCTTCATCATTACCTTTCCATTTCCCATCTTCCGCTTCTCCTCACATTCCCCCCATCCATCTCTTTCATTCCTCCTTCCCCACATTTCTTTCTTCATCTGCTGCCCCCACATCCCCCTTCCTCCTCCCTTCGATCTCCTTCTTTCCCACATCCCTTTCTCGCTCACGTCCTTCGCCCTTCCTTTCCCGCGTCCCCTCTACTCTTTCCCGCACATCCCTCTCTTTCTCTCTCTTCCTTTCCTGCCTTCTCACATTCTCCCTTCCCTCCCCGCTTTCTTCCTTCCCTTCCCACATCCCCACTTCCCCGCATCTCCCCCTCTTCTCTTTCTTCTCCTCATCCCCCCCATCTCTTCCCCCCATCCCTCTCCTGCCTCCTCGCATTCCCTTCTTTTCTCTCCCCCTCCGCTCGCCCCTTCCTCTCCCTCTTGCCCGCCTCCCCTCCTCCCCGGCTGCAGGCGGAGCGGGCCCGGCAGGAGGCGGAGGCGGAGGCGGGGCGGGCGGGCGCACGTCCCCCGGCCGGCGGAGCGGCCCCCCCGCCATGGGTCGGAAGCGCTGCGTGGGGGGAGACGGCTCCAAGATGGCGGCGGGTTGCTGCGGGGTGAAGAAGCAGAAGCTCTCCAGCTCCCCTCCGTCGGGCTCGGCCGGCCCGGGCAGCGGGCGGCGGCAGCTCGCACTGCGGCGGGGCGGCGGCGGCGGCGGGGTCCGGGGGAGGCTGCGGCGAGCCGGGGTCCCTTCCTGCGCTGCCGGGGGGCGCCCCCCGCCTCAACGGCCTCGGGGGGCTGGCGGGGGGCTCCCCCGGCTGCGCCCTCTCCCCGCCGCTGCCGCCCAGCTGCGGCGCGGGACCAGGAGGCCTCTCCGCGCCGGCCGCCGCCTCGCTCCTCTCCTCGCCCGGGGTCGGGCCCGGCGGCTGCAGGAAGATGGTGGTGTCGGCCGAGATGTGCTGCTTCTGCTTCGACGTGCTCTACTGTCACCTGTACGGCTACCAGCCCCCGCGGAGCCCCCGCTTCACCAACGACCCTTAGTAAGTGAAGAAGGTGCCCCCCCTCCTGTCCGCGGAAAGAAAAGGGTGCTTGCATTTGTGGGTAGGAAGCCTCCCCTTGGAAAGACCCCTCCCTAAGTTCAGTATGTGTGTGTATGTGTGCATGGGGTGGGGAAGGCGGTGGGGGGGGTTACTTCTTTAATGACCTTTAGCTCATAGTTTTATTTATTCCCCCCTCTTTGAAAAGCCAGAAGTCTGCAGGACACCCCCCCCCCATGTCATTTGCCTGTCGTGTACTCTTCCCCCCACCCGCTTTCCCATCTAGTTCTAATTCATAATATTTATAATGGCTGCGATCCCTCTGTGCATTCATTGAACCTTTCAGTAAGCTCCGTTCCACGTAGTGCAGGTTTGGGCTGTAAGGTGGGTGCCTGAAAAGTGTACTAATGTAAGTATGCTTACAGCGATGCAAAGTGGTAGCGTTAGTATGGATATGTGATTGCACGTATGTTAATGCAAACAATACTGGAAGCAAGCTTTCCCTCTCTCCGTATATATTTAAAAAGTGTACCAAGAAGTATCCGGCAACCCTCCCCAATGACCCTCCAATACATAATGCTCCTCTTGTTCTAGCACAATGTAACCCCAAACCGATTGCTTTGTGTAAGAGCCCCCCCCCCCAGACTAGCAGGTAGCTCTCCAGTTTGTCTTGTTGCTCCAGTGTGCTGCTCCAACTACTTTTGTTAGAATCCCCCATATTTTTCCTGCTCTAAGAACAACTTCTCTCTCTCTCTCTCTCTCTCTCTCTCTCTCTCTCTCTCTCTCTCTATCCCTCACAGCCATTCTCACAATCCCTAAAAGCCTTCTTACTTTATAGAAACACACAACCTTTTATCCCCATAGCACTCCTTTCCACTGTTACTGTCCTTGTGTGCTCCCCCCGCCCATGTATTTTTCACCCTGCCTAAAACGTCTGACCTAGATCCCAACAGCGCTCCCATCTCATATGTACCAGGGATCCCCCACCCATTATCCCTAATTACTCTTCTATTGTAAGCAATAGTGAATATTTCAGTGCATCTGAATGAAATTGCTTTCGTCTAGTGGACAGCATCCTTCTCCCTCTAGCTACACTCTCCTACACCTCTACATGGCTCAACCCAACCCCTTTGTTTACCCCAACAAACACATCCTGTGAGCACCCTTCAGATTTTTCTGCTTTCCCTGTAAAGACTTAACAGATCTCCCAGGATGCTGCTTCCTCACCCTGTTTGTCTCCTAACACTCATACTGTACTTGTACAGGAGCTTGGGAGGGTGGCATATGCAGGGAAGAACTAGCAGGCAGAAAGAGAATCCTTGACACTTCCATCCACCTGCAAGTTTTTCATCTGAGAATACACCCCCCCCCCATTTGAGAACAGAAGTAAACGCAGCTAAGGAGGGGGGAATGGACCGAGGTGGCTGCAATGGAGAGTTTCATTGGCATGAGAAAAGTTATGTATCCTTCCTCTCACCTGCCAGTTCTCCCCTTCATTCTGTTACCGTAGCTAAAGGGGGTTTAGTAGTAGAGTTTGCTAAGGTAATTCAATAGTTTTGCCTTCAGAGCAACTGCTTCATCAGCAGCAACCTTTAGTGAATAATCCCTTACTTCCTTCCCATATAGCTTTCTCTTAGCTGAAATATAACTCCTTCTTTCTCCAGTGAGCAGTTCTGTAGCTACCTCAGTTGTGTTTCTTGGCTTCTTACACCGGCAGGAGGGGGGAAGAAGGTCCTCAGTTCCAACTTCACTAATGTCCCTTTAGGACCATTCACCCCATAATACTTCCACCACCCCACAGCAAGCATAAAATTCTCAGTGGATGTCCTCTTTCAAAGTACAGCCCCTCATTTATTAGCTTTAAAACAAAATCATATACCACCATGTTTTCAGGTTGTTTTTCACAAGCAACCACTCAATAACATTTATTATATTTATATAATATGCTCAAGGTGGCATACAAGTTGTTCCCTGTCTCTTTTACTCTCACAGCAGCCGTTTGAGATAGGTCAGGGAGAGCCAATGCGGTGCCTTCCAGGTGTTTTTGACCTCTGGCAATTCTGGCTGGGGCTGATGGGAGTTGTAGTCCAAAATATCTAGTAGACACTGTGTTGGCTACCACTGAGTTACTCCAAGAGATAGTGCCTAAACCAAAGATAGTAGGTAAAAAATAGTTTGGCAGTGTAGGCTCCAGGGAAGGGAATTTTACTGACAGGGTACCAGCACTGAGAAGGCTATCTCTCAGGCTACTGCCCAGACTGGGAGGGAACCCAGAAGAGAACTCATTGTAGATAGTCATGCTCTAGGAAGCCAAAATAAGGTAAAGGTAAAGGGACCCCTGACCATTAGGTCCAGTCACGGATGACTCTGGGGTTGCGGCGCTCATCTCACTTTATTGGCCGAGGGAGCCAGCATACAGCTTCCAGGTTGTGGCCAGGATGACTAAGCCGCTTCTGGCAAACCAGAGCAGCACACGGAAACGGCGTTTACCTTCCCGCTGGAGCGGTACCTATTTATCTACTTGCACTTTGACGTGCTTTCAAACTGCTAGGTGGGCAGGAGCAGGGACCGAGCAATGGGAGCTCACCCCGTCACGGGGATTCAAACTGCCGACCTTCTGATCGGCAAGTCCTAGGCTCTGTGGTTTAACCCACAGCACCACCTGTGTCCCAGGATGCCAATATACTGAGGCTAAATATATCCAAGAGATGTTGCAGCTGATGGAATATATTTTATGCCACAGGGGCCACTTGGACCCCCAGTGGCAGCTGGATCCAGGAACATTCTTAGACTGCAGACTTCTTTCTTATGAGGAGTACAGCCCTGTCCCAGAAAGGTAGAACACCATCTTCCTGAGTGGAGGAGCCCAACTACCCAAGCCATGCATCTCCACATAGCAACTAGAATCCTTACATGTTTGAACCTGTATTGCAGGTTTTGCTAGTAAGGATCTTCACCACTCTATATTGCAGAAACATTGTTGCTGTATAGTTAAGGTGGAAAGATCAAATGACATTCTGCTATTGTAAAGTATTGCCACTGTAATCCTAATAAAATCAAGACTATTTGTCCAAATTATCTAAAGGTTAACACAGAAAATCTTCATGCTAAGCACACTATAAATTGACCACATTAAAAATAAAACCTGATAAGAAATTACTGAGATACAGCAGTTGTTTAAAGATTCCCCCAATAAGTGCAAATTTATCCACTTTGTGACAATTATTTGCACATCTAAAATATACCTTCTGTTTTTCCCTTTTGCTGGTTTAGATACACTCAAAAATTCAAGGAAATTGCAGAGGTCTTCTCTTCCCTGGTTTGGTGAAAATCTGTTGTGTATCCATAAAAATGTGAGGTTTTAAAATTTCAATTTCAACCCATCATTTAAGTAAGGGCAAGTCATATTTCAACACACATTCAGGGCTAGGTTGTGCCGGGTGAAGCTTCTCAGTTGAATGATCATCTGCTGCCAGACTGACAGCACAATCTTATACAGTTCTAGCCTGCTCAGAATTAAGGCTCATCGAGTTCAATGGGACTTACTCTCAGGTGTAGGATTTAAGCCTCAGGAAGCTTGCAAAAGCCAGTAGTTCTGGGAAATGGGGGTGTAGGGGCAAGAGGGAACAACAACCTGTATGTAGTGGTTGGTTGTAGTGCTTTGCATTATGTGTATGTTTGGATTTATTTGTGTGAATTGATTGTAAAGGGCTGAGCCTGAAGCAGTTTTTGTGTGTGTGTGGTTTTGCATTTGTGTAAAGGGGATTGTGAGAAGCGCCTGGAAATGGTTAGACCAGGAGTGACCCAGACCACTTCAGGGAGAGCTTGATGGCTAAGTGAGGAGTTGAATGCAGTGTATATCCATAACCATGTACAGTATATTGATAATTTATTCAAAGAAATTTGCTATATAGGAAACCATTGCAATAATAATAAGCACTGTTTGCTGCTTTGCATAGAATCTACTCTGTGCTTCACCAAACTCTTCAATACATATATTGTGAACTTTGTATATTTATCAGAATATTTTTTGAGATGTTTGTCTTGGAGATTGATCTTTTTGCCTCTGAAGCCAGAAATCTGCATAGCTAAACACAAAGCTAAACCTGACTATCTCATATCTGTCTCTGTATTCTGTTCAGTGTGGCATTAGACCAATTAATTTTCTCTTTGCTGTATCAGAGTTATGAGTTCTCATAACCTCTTAACTTAAAGATGCACATTTGCCATGACATAACCACATTAGTTATCCTTTGTATGACCCTCCTACAAATAGGAACGTAAAAGGATAAGAAAGTATATTTTACTTAGTTTTTCAATGTGCTTTTATGGGTGAAGTGGGGATTCTAATCCAGGTTACTGAACAAAAATAAGGAAGCTTGGGAGGTAGCAATTGTTATTGATTGATTGATTAACATAGCACACAGGATTATGGCCTTTGTGTGGCATAGAAAAATGTTGTACAGCTGTCACACACATTGCCCCTATATAACACAACACCCCTCACACAACATTTTCTGTTCAATCAGGAACCTTATTTTCTTTTCTATGAATTGCTTGCCTCATCGTAGCTAGTTTACCTTATCCATATGTTTCAAAGTACTTCCAAGCCACCTGCGTTATAATACTCTGTCCAACACCAAACTCAGGTGGTGAGTGCGATAACAATGCAGCCAAAACGGAGGAATGAGAGATTTGTGGAATGTTGAGATTTAAAGAAGTACAATTAAAAAACAAACCCGAAACCTAACCAGATTAAAAAGCAATGCCACACCCCAACAGATCAGTTTAGACTGAGCATACTTAGTAGCTATGGAATGTTGAATGTTGCTTGGAATAGAAAAATGAAGGGTGGCGGCGGAGCAAGTATCCTGGAGGAGGGCATGGCTGCCTGATTGACAGGAAATCTGAACTTCTTCCAGGAGATGAGGATACACAGCCACATTTTGTTGCAGCTCCCACTTGTCCCACTTACAGAATGCTGTCTTATCTTGCTTTCAGCC